TGGAGAAATAGAACAAGTATGACTAGCAGCCTAAGAAACAAAAGATGAATTTAATAGAATAAGTGATGGAGGTATTGTTGATTTCTAGGCTTTTCATGGATGCCATGGTAGTTTTCCCATCAGTAACCAGAGGACAACCAAGTGGCGTTTGACCTGTTGTGAACCTTGTGGTACCATCCATAAGCTTGGAAGTATCTTATGAATTTCCCCATGGAATGATATTCTCCTACAGAATCCTCCCTTTATTTCACTTGTGGATTAGATTTTTATTCAAGACTTTCTCCAAGGACAGGTTAGGCCTGGTCGTACATGGTACCCCATTTCCTGGCTGGTGATGTGATATCTGACAAATATACTAGCCACAAGTTTTGGTTGTTGCAAATGATAAGCATTACACTGTGTAAAGAATTTTTAAAAGAAGTTTCCATCTCAATGTGTCACACCCTATTCTCTCTCTTAGAGCTAAAGCAATTTGTAGAAGCTGCTATTTTGAAAGAGGACTATAGATACACAGATGGCTAGATAGTATCCATTCTTTCAGCCGGTTATAAATACTAAAATCCTCTTTCCTGGGAGCATAATGCAAAAGTCATAGTTGGCACAGGCCAAAAAAGATCACATCAAAATCTTCATGGAATTCTTGAGCTGGATTCCTGAGATGGCAAGCTTGCGACTCAATGCACCAGATACATGTGGTGATCTTTCTAAATGAACCTTCACTGGCCCAGCCTTGACTTGAAAGGAAGACACTTCAGAAGAAGACCCCTCATGGACTGAGGAGCCCACTGTGGTTTGCACTATACCTGAGCCTCCCTGCAACCTGGAGTTTTGAGGGGAAGAAGATCCCTTCCCTTTTGTACTACCACAGTTCTACTACAGTGTTACAAGCAGAACAGGGACTTTCTGAGTGGTTCACCTCCAGCACCCTCAGAGTCTCCCTCAGGACTCTAGGAACACAGAAGTCTCCATGTTAATTAGTGAATGGAAGGGCTGTGGCTCAGTGGCTGGATTCCTGAGGGAGGCTCTGAGGATGCTGGATGTAACATCTAGACTGGATTCTAATGGTTGAACGACTGAACGTGAATGTGTAAGCTTGCCTTGAAGTTCCCTTGCGTTCTGAACTTACTTTAATGGATTTTAAATATACAACATGTGATGGAACTCCATTAAGGTGCTGCTGTTCGGAATGTCTAATCTTGAAGACCAGTCATCTTGTTTTGTGAGATTCTGTTATTCCATTGCTTCCAATGCATCACTGGATTAGTTTCAGTTATTAATAAGAACACAAGAGGAGCCATGGTGTATCGCAAAGGTCCATCTAGTCCAGCTAGTAGCCAACAAGGAAGCTTCAGAGCATGAAGGCAACAGGCCACCTATGGTGTTTGTCCTGCTGCAACTGTTGTTCGGAGGTAAACGGCATCTGAACGTGGAAGTTCAAGTCTTAACTGTTAGCAGCTATGGATTTAATGTGATTTTTATCCACTGTTTTATACGAAGATCAGAATTGCTCTGCAGGATCAATTAATAGCAGAAAACTATGCTCTCACTACGCCTCCAGACCTTTTTGTTTTTGATTTATGTCCGGATTATTCAATGGAAAAGTGTCAGCATTCCTTGGTCTCGATACTGATTGCAGCTGCACGACAGGTGATTGCAGCCAATTGGAAAAACCCAAACGGACCTTCCATAGATGCCTGGTTTGACAAACTTTGGGATGTTTGCCTGCCTGTGCAGGCAAGGCGGGATATAAATCAAAAATAATAAATAAATACATAAATCATGGGGAAAACAGTAAACAATTATGTCTTTGTTGGTTCTCACCCTGTGGTTATGATAAAATCTGGAAGCCAGTTATTGGGTTTCTGAGGCAGAATGAAGTTCTTCCGTGTAGAAATTATTATAGAATCTGGTTAAAATCTGGTTAAAATTGTAAAGTTAATGTAAACATGTATCAATATGAGTTGTTATGTAGGTGTATGAAAATTGTACGAAAATTTAGGTTTAGCCTTGGTTTTCTGGGAGTATTTACTGGTCAATAATGTTATAATAGTTTTACTTTTGTATTGCTCTTTTTTGGTGAATGTAATAATTAATAAATAATTTAGATACACACACACACAGAGTATGTTCCATTGCTCCCCTCTCACCAGGAAGCATCAGTCAGAAAGTCTCTGTCTGAGCTTTGAGGTTAATAGCCATTGATAGAACTGTCATCCATAAATGTGTGTTATTACCACAGGTGGTCACTTTATTGGTCCATGATATGAGGCAACCTGAGTGGACCTTCTCTCTAGACAGGGACTCTCAAGGGTCTGAGGCAGAGAAGTTTCCAAGTCTTACTACCTTGAGAACCTTTTAACTGGAGATACTAGAGATAGACCAGGGGACTTTCTGTATGCAAAGCATGTGTTCTGCTGCAGGGCCAAGCTCTTCTTTTTATGACTCCAACATGGAGCTCCACGTGTTGCCTAGGATACTGGAGACTACAACATCCTGCAACATTAGTTTCCCAGCAGATGAGATGGTTTACTTAATGAGCAGGATGAAAGCGGCAGGCCACAGCTTGTCTGAAGAGAAGAAGGGTGGCGAAGACAAGAAAAGAGTCGTAGACAGGAGAAAATTCCAGTAAGGGATGTTCATGGAACAGATCTGAGTCTGCTGTATAGCAGAACCACAGTCACAGGTTCCAAGTTTCTGTCCCGTCACCTTCCAAAATTCAGTATGCACTGTGGGATTGTAAGCATTTCTGCCTCTGCCACAGAAATGTGGAGGTTTGTGCTGTCTTATCCATGCCAGATTGGCTTATGGCGAAAGCTTGCTACCTCATGCCGTCTGTTTTCTTTTTGCCGACATACGGTGCACTGAAATTGGAATTCAGTCGCCTACCCTGACAATGCTTTTTGTTAATCTTAAAAATATATATCATCTTGCTTTTCTGGCAAGTGATTGGCTCTCCATGACTTGATACAAATGGATCTAAGCACGGTAGAAGGGTGGTTGGCTCCTTCCTGTCCTCCCTCTGCCGGTCTCGACAGTGGTAACTAGAAACTGGAGGAAAGAGTCTCCCAGTCTCCTACCCTTTTTTAATTCACGTAGTTATTTCTGATGTCTTTATCCCGTGTTCTAGCCAAATATTGGCTCCCAAAGGGCTCCCAAAGAATCAAAAGACAATACACATGGCAGTTCAATAAAAACACGAGATCTGCAGCCAATATGTGCTGTGTGTGTGTGTGTGTGTGTGTGTGTGTGTGTGTGTGTGAGAGAGGGAGAGAGAGAGAGAGAGAGAGAGAGAGAGAGAGAGGTGGGAGGTTAAAATCCATCCTGGTGAAAGATTTGGAGGAACTTGAAAGTTGCGTTCACTATTTAGTGATATTTTGATTGGTCCTAATACAAAAATCACTATGCTACCATTCTTTCTGGATTTTTGCTATGGATTGACACAGTTCCCTGCAATACTCGACCATTTCAATAAATATTATTTGCCGAGAGGATTTGCAGTGGCCTGCTTTCTGCCTTCCCTTTGCTAGGCATATCAGCAGCGGTTATAAAATGGAGGAAACAGGGCATAGTTTTTTAATACGGAAAGTAAATCCCAGCACTTTGTCAAGGAACCAAGTGGCTCTTGCTGAACAGACTTCTGCTTGGCAAACCCCAAGTGTTCATGGAATATTTATACCCTGTGGTATGGTTGCCAGCTCTGGTTTGGGAAATACATGGGGACTTTTGGGGGGGGACACCTGAGGAGGGTGGGGACTTCAATGGGGTCTAATGCCAAAGAGTTCCCCGTCCAAAGCGGCCATTTTCTCCGGGTGCACTGATCTCTGTCACCTGGAGACCAGTTGGAATAGCGGGAGATCTCCAGCTACCACCTGGAGGTTGGCAACCCTGACCTGTGGTCAGTGTGGCTGCCTCTCTTGGGGAAGTTACTTCATCTGCGTTTTGTTTATGATTCTACCTGTGCAGTGGTCATACTATGTGGACATTGCTGTGCTCAGGATGGTTTATGTAATTGTGGCTGACGTGAGGATTGACCGTGCACGGGACTCATACTTACCTGCCCACTTTTTGTTTATACTCTGCACTGTTTCGGATAAAAGATTGCCTTGCAATTGGCCGTTCCATCTTCCGTTCTTAGTTCATACATACATACTTACAACCACTCACCTAGCTGGGACATCTCTGCCCTGGATCTTTAAGTCAAGAGAACTAGGCAGGGGCCATACCTCAGTGGCGGGAGCATCTGCTTAGCCTGCAAGGAAGTCCGGGAGTGCTATGCAGAGTCATGCAATGGCAAGCCGCCTCTGTTCCTCTCTTGCCTTGAAAACCCTACGGGGTGGCCATAAATCGGCTGGGATTTGACACCACTTTCCACCACCACTATGATGATGATATTCAAGCTCTGTGCGGAGCCATAGATTGGCCTGCCTGTCAGTAGGCGCATCTCTGCGTGTGCATACACAGGCACAACCGGAAACAAAGCTTAGAAGTCCATCATGTCTACTAAACTGAGCTTTGCTTTGCTTATCACCAGGTGTCATTTGCTGCTGCTCCGACAAGAGACACACATAAGTGGACTTTCAATATGCAAACATCTAGGAAAATGACTGGCAGATGCTTTTCTTTCCTTCCTTCCTTCCTTCCTTCCTTCCTTCCTTCCTTCCTTCCTTCCTTCCTTCCTTCTTTCTTTCTTTCTTTCTTTCTTTCCCCTTCTCCCACTCTTACTTCCCCTCTGAACTGCACACTGCCGTCCTTCTCGCCTCCCTGGGAGGGGAAGCCAGTCTGGCCTGCAGTTTTAACTGCGGGAGAAGAACAAGCGGCCTTGTGTCTGAAAGGCCCCTGCCCTCCTTCATTAACAAGCTGGTTGAAGATGGAAGTGCTAGATTGCCCGGTCGAGGGTGGGGGCGGGTCTCTCCTCCCAGCCCTTGCGAGACTGAGGGACTTTTGAGTCTCCGTTTGTCGACAAAGAGGCCATAACCGTGTTGATCTTTCTTTCCTTTTAGGGAGACGTGGGAGCTCTGGGCCCTCCTGGAGTTCATGGACTCATTGTAAGTACAGGAAAAATACAGGAGAGCTTTTGAATTTGGGGCTCTGGAATCTGAGGCTTTCAAGTTTCTTTTGGAGCCCAGTAACCAACAGACAAATGCGTGTGTTTCATTTGGTCTTTGTGTTTGAAAGGGAGCATAACATGGACAAAATAGTACGCATGGTGCAATGTTTTTGGCAGCAGCGAGAACAACAGGATTGCCCCTTTTGGGCTGTGGTGGGTGGCAGGATGCTAATTTTCTTTTTTAAGCAAATGGTTGTGGGTAGCAATGTTCCCTCTTAAGCTGTGGAGTCTTGTGAGCAAAAATTCTACTTTGTGAGCTCCTGGCGTTAAAGTGGTGAGCCAGCCATTTGGCTGCTGCATAAATTAGTTTGCTCTGGAGCCCTCCCTTCCTGAGCGAAGGCAAAAAATGTGTGAGCTGGAGGCTAAAAAACTGTGAGCTAGCTCACACTGACTCAGCTTAGAGGGAACAGTGGTGGGTAGATGAAACTAATAGGACCAAGGTCCTTCGCATTAGGGCCAAGTCTCTGAAGGCCTGGCTCTCACTGTGTCTTGGCTGTACCACTTCAAACAGCCGATATAATGTAGAAAACTAGTACTACAACAGTAGAAAACAAATTAGCAACAACAGGATAATATGGGCAGCAAACCGACGATACATCCCAAACACAGT